GAATGACCCATACAGCATTACTTTGACATTTCCTTTGAGAATGACAATGACTGAAACTTTTGGTAACCCTTTGGCCGTGGAAACGCAAGCCTGAAAAAGGTGACCCATACAGACCTGACCCATACCATATTGTACCATACCACACCATGAAAACGGCCCATAGTAGAGAAAAACAACAAATGTAGTTATCACAATTCCTCTTAAGATTTAAAAGAGTAGTTTAGCCCTCAAAACAACAACAAAAAAGCATTGCAATTTCACTTATCAGTGTCTTTCCAAAGCTCTTATGGTCTTGTGGAACTTCTGAGTAATGAACCAGTCCCTTTTTTATTCCATATAATTACAGTAAATGAGGTCTGACAATGGCATACATCATCATAAATCTATCATTCAAGTGCTTGCATGACTCTCTCTGATATATTTAGAGGCTTGCATGATAGCCTTTTATGAGAAAACAGAAAAACACTACATTTCTGTTTAGTTCTGGAATATCATTTCTGAATGAATCATTATTCTGAGTCAGATCTCTTGGTAAATGGATTTCTACAGTTCAGAAAACCAACTTTTTCTCTTACAGTCACTTACAACTGACTGACAATTACAGCAGTAGTATTTTTTGAGATTGTGTTTAAGACACTTATACGTTTCAGTTTTAAAACTGTGTTTAGAATAAAAATGATCCACGTTCACACTGGCGTTTTATCTAGAGTTTTTGAAAAGCTCTCTGTTCACACTACACCGCTAAGAATGCATATCACGTGAACATACAAGCACTCTGGCATGTGCTGAAAGCTGCTTCAGCATATTCTTGCATCTGAGATCCAGGCAGTCCAGTCTAGCAGGAGCTCTGAGCACACCTGCCCAGCTAAGAGCAACCCAACTTCAGCCAGTACACCCCGATTCTGCTTCTGGATCTCATCTCTCTGTAGTTGTTAAACGTGATCTATAATTCATCTTGTGTAGTAGACGTATATCTAACGGGTCTGCCTTTTGAATCTATTACTTGTTCTCAGGTAACATTTTTTGGCTAAGCACAAAGATAAGTTATACCTGTTAATTTGTGAAACCACCTACACTGATTTTGCATATTTGACCGATTGCTGCCTTTATTTCCCAAAACGTGAAACCTTATTGTACTTTATATTTATTATTAATTATAAAAATGATGATAACTAACTTATTATTATATTCCGCAAAAGAACCAGCCATTTTGCATTTCCCTGTGCATTTCCTCTGATAATCTTTGTGTGCGTATATCCTGACATTAAGCACAGCCAAAACCACGCAGTGAGCCTAATGTTTCATATATTTCCATGAAAATGAAAATGAAAGGAGGCATTTATTAGGCTCCGTTTTGTTATAAATGTGCATACAGTGAAGATGAGTGTCATATAAATATGCACATGTTGCCTTAACATTTTTGGTGTCTGTTATGTTTAAGTTGTTAATAAAAAAAAAAGTTGTCATGCTTTCGTTTTATAGCCAGGGTGAATGATGTTATAAAAGTACACTGTCATATTTAAATTTACCCGAGGTGTCCTCACGTTCTTGGAAGTTATAAACTTGCAAAGTCTGAACTTACAGGGAAGGGATACAAGTCTGAACTTTGTTTACTTAATATTGAGAAAAAGCCCTAATCAGATTTACAGATGTCTCCATTTTCAAAACGCTCCATTTTCGGGGTGGTGTGGATGGAAGGCGTAAGCATAGCAAAATGTATGCGTTTTAAAACTAAAACATATTAGTGTAAACAGGGCCTTAGTGAATTGGTCCACATGATTTTATATAGTTATGTAGTGCACTATTTTAATGACTCACTGCCAGATCAAAAGTGGTCAGAATGCAAGATAGTGGTCAAGTCTGAGTGTTAAATGGGATATTTTAAACCAAAATAAAACTTGTCATTCTGTCAGTAGAAGTCTGTGATCATATCCAAACTGCTTCACAATAGCGTTAAATTTATATTAATGTAATAATTCAATTTAACCCAGTCCATTTGAATTGAATTCTCAATACCACAGTCCTGTGTGTTTCTGCAGCATCGAAACACCCCTAAAGCAGTATAAATGCCAGTGTTAACATTATGTAAAACGGGATGAAGCGAAGGAGCATAGCACTCTCTATGTAGAGAGCTTATGCCTCACTTTGTCCTATTGCAACCTTCAAAGTACAGCTTAAACTTGTAATGAGATTAGACATGCCTGATATCTATTAGCACTCCTGTGTCCTACTGGCTTCAGGTGAATTAGCACACTGGTTGGAAGATGGAAGGCAGAAAAAACGGCAGTATTTGAGATGCTTTAGTTTCCAGGGTTTAGATATTTGCACAGGAGTGAGCAACATTTACCGTCAACTTACTCTCTCTCTCTCTCTCTCTCTCTCTCTCTCTCTCTCTCTCTCTCTCTCTCTCTCTCTCTCTCTCTCTCTCTCTCTCTCTCTCTCTCTCTCTCTCTCTCTCTCTCTCTCTCTCTTTTTTTTTTTTTTTTTACTCTGTAAGGCTCACCTGGTGCTGGTAATTTCACATTGCACATCCGGAGAAGGGCTTGTATGAGTTCTGCGGGGGCTGCGATGTTTACTTAAAGCTGTGTTTCTGGAAAGTGGTCCAGCACCCTCTGTTTACACTGCTGTATGTGTGACAGTCGTTTGTCATGGGCCCAACACTCACCCCTTCTCCAATACGTGTGTGTCTAATTTCACCTCAGGGCGGCTTGGTTTTGTTTTTGCGTAACGAGAGCTTGGGGATTTTAGTGGCCCCAGAAGTTCTGTGCTATTTGCAGAGCTCTCCGTTTATTTTCAGTGCTGAGGAGGCTGGCGGGTTAAGCAATAATCTCTTAGCCTGTTTTATGCCACTTTTTAAAGTCTTGTCAGATGCTGAGCTTGTTTTGAACTCTTATATGGTTATATGAATTGTAATTCATTGGTGAGAAGAAATAGTATGATGAAAAGTGTAGTTTGTAGCGTTAATTATTGGATTATACATATACATTACATACCCACTGTATGTATGTATGTATGTATGTATGTATGCATGCATGCATGTATGTATGTATATATATATATATATATATATATATATTGCATAATTTACAATGTATATTGTACATATAAATTTTAATTATGTACATTTCCACTGCACATACACATTTGTAATTATGTTCATATCTATCTGCACACTTCTGATTATTAATAGCTACCTGTACATATGTTCATCTATTGTAAATCTCTGTTAATTCATTCATTTGTTAATATTCAGTTCAATTCAATTCAGTTTTATTTGTATAGCGCTTTTAAATGTAGATTGTGTCAAAACAGCTTCACATAAATGGTCATAGTAATTGAAACAGAGTAGTTCAGTTCTTGGTGTTTAAGTTCAGATCAGTTTAGCTCAGTTCAGTATGCTTTAATCATAACTGAGAGTCCAAACACTGAAGAGCAAATTCATCGATTGGTAGCTCTACCGATCCTAAACCATGCAAGGTAGTGGCGACAGCAGAGAGGGGAAAAAAAACTTCATTGAGGCGAGTGAAGAAAAAAAAAACCTTGATAGAAACCAAACTCACCTATAGTTTTTCTAGAATTGCACTTTATCACTTAAACCTGTATCTTGCACTTGCTGTTATTGCACTCTTAGTTTTACCTAAACTGCTTTTTGTTGTCTTGTACTTGTAAATGTGTAATGACAATAAAGTTGAATCTAATCTAATCTAAAGTAGTATTTTCTACATTTTTTTGGTTACCTTTTAGTCCTTTGCGTTTTAATTGGAAATTGGTGCACCATATTGATACTGTAAATGCATAAAAAGAGAAGGAAAATGTATTCCATTCTTTACCAACAAAATAAAATGTATTCTGCTTTCAGTGATTTCAGAAGACTTTTTTGATGAAATTAACTCTCTTAAGGACATTTTTAGCAAAGTATTAATGATACAAATCTGATTCAATTCATTTACTCACATCACATTCTTTATTTGTTTGTTGTTTTAAATTGTAAATTTATTATTGAAATGTACATAGCTTTAGTTGCTGACTGACATGGCATTAAATGAAAAATACATTAAATTACCAACCAAACGAAGTGCATTAAACTATTTGCTGAAAAGCTAAATCATATAAATGTTAACTTAAAACAAATCTGTTAGTGTAAAGTACTACATTTACATAAATAAATTTATATAAGTACTTAGTTTTTGGAAACTGAAAATGTTTTATTTTATATAATCAGATTCCATAGATTAAGAATTTAATTTTATTAAATTTATTTTTGTATTAATAATTTTTAGAATCTAATAATATAATATAATATAATATAATATAATATAATATAATATAATATAATATAATATAATATAATATAATAATTTACAGTGGTAATTACAATCAATTATGCATAATTACATGCATCTAACCCACATTCTAACTCTAACCATGTATGAAGAACATGTAATCAATTTCTGTTATTTAATGTAAACAAATCTGTTTATAAGTGCTTTATTTTGGAAACTGAAAGTGTAATATTTTATATAATCATATTCCATAATGAAGTATTTAATTTAATGTTTTTTTATTAATAATTTTTACAATCTCATAATATAATATAATATAATATAATATAATATAATATAATATAATATAATATAATATAATATAATATAATATAATATAATAATTTACATGTATTTACTGTAGTAATTACAATTAATTACGCATAATTACATGCATCTAACCTGCACTCTAACCCTAACCATATTGTAAGTACATGTAATCAACTTCTAGTCAGTAGTTAAAGGAATATTTACACTGTAACAATGACAGGATAAATACACATTTTTTTTTTTGTTTGTTTTGTAGTAGATAATCCAGTATATAATCTTTTTTTTTTCTGCCCAGCACTAAATATAAGGCGTATATTATTGTTTACAGAAGACCACACAGTTATATTATATAATAAGTGAAGCAATAACATTAATGACGTTCTTAATGTATTTGTTTTCTCAACCTAGGTAAATGTGTGAAGATTAAGAAGAAACAGAGTCTTTCAGCAAGTTTTGACAGCACTAATAAACATTCACCGAGCAACAAGAGGAACGGTGGTCCCAGCCTGGTGACTCACAGGCCCTTGAGGGAGAGAGTTATTCACATATTGGCCTTAAAGCCTTACAGCAAACCTGAACTATTGCTCTGGCTGGAGAGGGAGAAAGCAAGCCCCAAGGACAAGGCCGACTTGAGCCCTGTGCTGGATGAGGTAAAACCCTGCATACCACTGTCCAAATGCACAAGCAACACAATATTTATGTCGTAAATCAGTGGAAAAAATGTTACCGAACCTCACTTGCAATATTTTGATAGTGTTTTGCATTACAAAGCCTTTTAATATAAAGTATTTTAGTCCATTGTTGATGCTTGTGATATTATTGCATGCCATAAATATCAGTTTGTTGTGAAATGTAATGTAAATTTTTCAGCTTTTCGTGGAGAAAATAAAGTTAAAGTTGGGCAGATTTAATTTTTTTATTTATTTTTTAAGTTTCTTATGCTAAGGATATATATATATATATATATATATATATTTTTTTTTTTTTTTTTTTTCTTCTTCTTCTTTTAGAACATTTTGAAAATGTCTTTATCTCATAAACAATTTATGATTATATTATATTATATTATATTATATTATATTATATTATATTATATTATATTATATTATATTATATTATATTATATTATATTATGTTATTGCTATTGCTATTGTTTTTGTTATTATACATTATATTTTTGTTATTTATTTTATTTTAGCCTGATATGCATAGCATTCTTCTTCTTCTTCTTCTTCTTCTTCTTCTTCTTCTTCTTCTTCTTCTTCTTCTTATTATTATTATTATTATTATTATTATTATTATTATTATACTTCTATTACTAGTACATTACTATACTATACTACTATTATATGTTTTAGCCTAATATGCAGATCATAAAATCAGTATCAGAATATTTTTTATAGTATAAAAAAGGTGGTGTTTAAGTTTTAGAATTTAAATTTAACTTTCAGAATTGTTATTGCTATTATTATAAATATTATTATATTTCTACTTGAATTACTACTATTTCTATTAATAATACTATTATATTATTATACTATTGTACTATTGGGTACAAATGTTAATTTTAGTGATTATTTATTTATTTATTTATTTTATTTTTATTACTGAGACCTCAGACTATGACTCCTAAAAAAACTAAAGAGTGAAAACAGTTTTTATTCACACAAAAGTGTGAAATTAATTATCAGTAATATAAAAATAAAAAGTAATCACTTATTCATTGACTATTAGTATCAGTTGAGGAATTTCTAATTGTACAGTTGAAATCAGAATTATTAAACCCCATTTTTTTTTTCTTTTTTAAATATTTCCCAATCTAATGTTTAACAGAGCAAATAATTTTTAGTTAGTCTGATAATATTTTTTCCTCTGGAGGAAAGTCTTATTTGTTTTATTTCGGCTAAAATAAAAGCAGTTTTAATTTTTTAAAAATCCATTTCAAGGTCAAAAGTATTAGCCCCAACTGTATAAACATCAAGATTCACTAACCGAGTGAATTCAAATGGCCAAGCTAATTTAAATTGAGGATAAATAATCTGTAATGTTAGAATCAAGAGTCGTTTGTTTGCTGATCAGACATCATGACTCGAGCTGTGGTTTGTAGCGTGCAGGAAACCCTCTCAGAAGATAAATGAGTAATAAACAAAGGCCACCTCACAAGATAATATCTGACCATCTGTGTATGTGAGTTAATGCATAGAAACCTTTCTCAGAAACTGTTTAGGGAAGCTAGATTTTAAATTCGTCCACATTTTTTCCTCACATCTTCCTCATAGTCTGAAGCTCTGCGTAATATGTTGTTGATTAAAACTCTGTCAGCATTCAACTCCACACCAGTTCCAAGTTTATTATTATCATTTTTTTTTTAATCTCCTCCATCAACCCTACTTCAGAAAACAGTGCTGGGCTTGTGCAGATAATACAGTTTATGTCCAGAGCTGCTGCTTTATTGCATTTGGGCAGGCGAGATGGTCATTGCTGATTTTGTCAGTAGGTTTATTTGCAGACTGTTTCCTGCTGCGTTTATATACAGGAGTTCCTGCACAGTCAACAAGGGGAGGTCGCAGAGAGCTAGCGGTAGCAATTAGCCCTGCAGCCTTAATGATATTTGGAGAATGGATGGTGTTTTGACAGAGCGAGGGTTGCGCTGAGTTCATATCCCATTTGTACAAGTGCTTTAGCGAACGTCCTGTGCTGCAATACATTTATGCGCTCTGTTTTACATTTACAAGGCCTGAATTGAATTATCGTCCTCTGGATGTATTTAAGAATGTCCTTAAAAGGCTTTTCCTACATTTATTTTCTATCTGAAGTGTTGTATTTCTTCAAACAAAGATGCTGACTCAGGTTAAGTTTGATGGTTGGAGTCACTCAAGAAATAGTGTTTACCTAAAAGGAGGGTTTATTCTCCCGAAAAATAAAGATTTACTAAGCATTAACTGGTTTTAGGCCTGCTTATTTCTGTTGAACACAACATATACAGTTGAAGTCAGAATTATTAGCCCCCCTTTGAATTTTTTTTATTAATTAATAATTCCTTATTTATTATATAGCAAAGCACTTTACACATAGGGGGGAATCTCCTCATCCACCACCAGTGTGCAGCATCCACCTGGATGATGCGACGGCAACCATTTTGCGCCAGAGCGCACATCACACACCAGCTGATTGGTGGAGAGGAGACAGAGTGATGAAGCCAATTATGACATGGCAATGATAAGGAGGCCTTGATGGACAGAGCCAGTGGGCAAATTTGGCCTGGATGCCGGGATGAAACCCCTACTCTTTTTCGAATGACATCTTGTGATTTTTAACAACCACAGAGAGTCAGGACCTCGGTTTAACATCTCATCCGTAATATGGCGCTCACTGAGCAGTATAGCATCTCTGTCGCTATGCTGGGGCATTAGGACCCACACAGACCGCAGGTTGAGCGCCCCCTGGTGGCCTCACTAACACCACTTCCGGCAGCAACCTAACTTTCCCATGTGTTCTCCCATCCAGGTACTGACCTGGCGCAGCCCTGCTTAGCTTCAGTGCTCAAGAGCGGTGTTGTCACGCGCCTACTGAGGGGGGGGTGGTGTCACGAGGGCACTTTTGATCATTTTGGAAGGGCACTTTCTATCCAAGACTAAAAAGGGCATGTGCACTGCACAGGTTGAGCAATATGTCTGCACGTGCCTGCCACTAGATCATGTCATTTGCCAGTTAGAAAACTTTATAATACTACAATCCCCAACTATATTATATCTAGAACATTTTTAGATGTGCAGTTAGCAAAACTTGTCATAATGTGCAATCTTTCATGCATGCAAGGATCGCTGGTCTCACTCTCTCATGCACTTTGTCCTAAAGCGACTACTGTATGCTTGGTGTTTGCTGGCGGTGTGCATGAATTACACTTATTACTGTGCCATACTTACATGCTATTTCAGACCGAAATTGCCATAAGCGAATGCAAAAAGAAAGCCCCGCCCCCTACTCAGTATGCTGTTTCAGTTGGAAGTGCATCAACATACTGTAATAAAAGTCTCAACTTTCAATTCACACTACTTAATTTGCATGTGATCTGTCACTTTCAGTGCATTAGTGGACAGAGGGCAGTTGCTCATTGGGAAAAGTAATAATATTTTGTGTTTCCTTTTAGGTGGCGAAACTCAATCCCAAAGAACACAGCTTTACTCTGAAGGATGATTTCTACAGACATGTGCGGAAAGACTGGCCAGGCTATGTAGAGGAAGAGCGGCAACTCATTCAGAGGGTGTTAGCAAGGTACATATTCACTTGTCGTTAGTACATTGTATTGTCTATTTTTTGATAAATGAGACTATATTGGATATTATTTAGTATTTTATTAAACTAATTCAGAATATCAAGGTTATTTGAGTACACTAAAACTGAAGTCTGGTGCTTTCACACCTGTAGATTGATTATTTTGTTTTGAAACAGGGATTAAAGTTGTGATGTTGCTCTTTGTTCTTGGTGCGGTTCGCTTTCACGCTGCAAAGTTTCTAAACGGGCCAAAAAAGCTAAAACAAGTCATGTGCGAGTAAACTCTCCTCACATTAGACAGAATCCCACTCAGCTGACATGCGTCCTTATTAATTAATGACGATGAGTAATAAGACAATATAAGCGAAAAGGTGCACTTTAATTTTGAATGGTGATACCCACAGACATTGTCACTAAATAAATATCAGAGGTCAGAATCTCTTATACAGTATGTAGCCGTTGGCTAGAGTTATGCATTATAGGCTTTACGTTATAGAGAAAAACAACAGATAACAGCTCAGTCAATTTTCAGTGAATTGAAAACAGCTCTTGTTAATAGTTCAGCATGCATTCACTTTCGTATTAGACATAAAAGCACATTTACTGGTAGAAATTATGACATCATCGTACTCTCTTCATATAGCCATAATACACTGTGATATAGCCTGGTTCGTTAGTTCGTTGGATCGTATTGCTTTCTTACTACCATCGATCCTCTCTAGAGTTTGTTTCAATTGTGCCGAGACCACCTCATTCAGGCGATCTCGGGCCGATTCATTTGTCGTGGATCCAAGAGCGACTGCTGGTTTCACATATGCCAAATGAACCGTGCTAATGGGGAAAATGCGCCAGTTTCCAAAACAAAAGTCTAGGTGTGAAAGCTTTCTCAGAACTAAAATAATCGTTACTTAAAGCGAAAGTTAACAAAAACAAAATAAATATATTCTGTGTGTTTAAAAATATTTCTCATGTATATTTAACTTCAAACTGAAAAAAAAAAAACTAAAACTAAACCATAATTATTCTTTTTTAAAAATAAATACACATTTATTATAAATGAAATTAAAGTGAAAAAAATTATATTTAAAAATTTTGTTATAAATAAAAACTACAATAGGAACAATGATTATTAATAATATAATGATATATTAATAATATAATGATATAAAAATGATTTATTTAATTACTACAATGATTTAGCTCCAAAATAATAGCAGCTATTGCTGTGGGCTAAAAACAAGTTTGTTTGACAAAGCAATAGTCTTTCCCCCAAATCTGTTTGTTAATGCTTTTTTGCTCTACTTTAAGTTATAATACAAATATTTTGTTTATTATTAATAATATTATTATTTAAATATTATTTATATATTATAGTTTTGATATATTTTAATTTAGTTACTTATTTTGACCTTTACTTGATTTTTTGTTTGAATGTTTTTAATTATTATTAATCGTTAGGTTTAATTTGTTAATTTTAGTGGTTAACAAACTTATTTAGTAAGTTGCTAAGGCAGCATTTCCAATAAATATTTAGTTTACAGTTGAAGTCAGAATTATTAAACCCCCTGAATTGTTAGCCCTCCTGTTTTTTTTCCCAATTTCTGTTTCATGTAGAGAAAATTTTTTCAGAACATTTCTAAACACAATAGTTTTAATAACTCATTTCTAATAACTGATTTATTTTATCTTTGCCATGATGTCAGTACATAATATTACTAGATATAATATATTTTACTTAATATAATATATAACTAGATATTTTTCAAGACACTTCTATACAGCTTAAAGTGCTTTTATTCTAGCCAAAATAAAACAAATACAACTTTCTCCAGAAGAAAAAATAGAATAGGAAATACTGTGAAATATTCCTTCCTCTATTAAACATCATTTAGGAAATATTTAAAAAAGAAAAAAAATGGGGGGCTAATAATTCTGATTTCAACTGTAGGTTTTTCCTATCTAATATTTCTTTTTCATATTATTTAAGCTTCATTTCAAACAAAGTTTATCATTATTATTTTTATTTTAGTTTTAAACTTTCAGAAAACAATCATAACCCTGCTTGGACTCCCTCGGTTAACTTTCGTAACAGTATTATTTTCTTACTTCCTTTGACTAAGACAGGCTGATGACGTGTGCTACAGTATTGTCATGGAGGTCTTGCCCCCGCAGTCTGCTGAGATGATGTGTTTTGGAGGCTCTATTAAGTGTGCGTTTCAGCACAGATGATGTGGTTAATAGGCCTGTCTGAGCAGGAAACTCTGCGATTCACTGTGCTGTAGAGTGGAATTATGCTGAAAGCTTCTGTGCAGCCGCATTCAGACCTGAACAATACGGGAATAAATGGCAGCCATCCTGCCAAATGTGAGCTTGGCTGCCGTGTTTTTGGGAGGTTTTCCACACTCCGCCTTAACTGACTGCGTATTTAGTTTCTGCTCTGCCTCCCTTCACCTCTATCTCTCAATCTTTCTGCGAACTGCCAGTTGAAAGTGTCCTAACGGGACGGTTTGAGATGATTTTGCAACATCAACCACCAAAATAAGACTTGCACAACAGGGTGTTTTGTTTTTGTTCACCATGTTGATCCAAAGATTGGGGCTATAGCATTTTATCACAGTAGATTTTTAAGATAAGATTTAAAAAGTACTATGTTAAATTTATAAAAGAATTGTTTTCTAGTGAAGATCTAATGGTTTTACAATTTAATTTATTCCAGCTTTAGCAAATATTTTTATTTGCGTAATATTTTTGGTAAAACAGATACATACTTCTCTCATATTTTGATGATTCGTTTAAACCAGAAATGCGGAATTAGGGCCTGCGGGCCAAAGTTGACCCATGCTAACCTTTGATTTGGCCCAAAATCCCATTTGAGAAGAATGATTGACAGAGATCGTCATTTTGTAATGTAATGTAACATTTTGTTTGTTTGTTTGTTGATTTTGTAAATGAATCAGACTTTTTGTAAATACTGTCACTTGACGGATAGAGGACAATGCACAAGAATTTGGCGAGCAAATCAAGCCAAAGGCAGCTTAGTGCATTTAGCATTGATCTTTATTGAGTTTAATGGGATTGTTTACATACATTTAACCACATACATTTAACCACAAACAACCAATTAAAATGGCATTTGCTACCTCCTATGATCTGTATGGTCTGGGGGGTCCAATTTCGCTATACCAAAGTGTAGTGACAAATAAAGGCTTGATTGATTGATTGATGATGAAATAACACAGTGGTTTTAGTTATTAATATATAAAGTATTATATAATGCAATATTCATGTAGGATTTAAGGATGATTTGTCACATTTATGAATGTTTGGGATGACAATTTATTATAATAAAAATAAATAGTTTAGTTTAAGACTTTATCAATCCCCTTGATGCTTCACATATAAAAAAAAATAAGAAGAATATTTAATAAATCCAACAAAGACAATTGAACAAAATTCACTTAATGATTTCATTTAGTTTGCTTCATACCGCTTACAATTTAAACATTTTTTACAATTAATTGTCTATACTGGGAAGTGCTTATAAAATAAAAAAAAAATTAAAAAACATCAATGAATCTATCTATCTATCTATCTATCTATCTATCTATCTATCTATCTATCTATCTATCTATCTATCTATCTATCTATCTATCTATCTATCTATCTATCTATCCATCCATCCATCCATCCATCCATCCATCCATCCATCCATCCATCCATCCATCCATCCATCCATCCATCCATCCATCCATCCATCCATCCATCCATCCATCCATCCATCCATCCATCCATCCATCCATCCATCCATCCATCCATCCATCCATCCATCCATCCATCCATCCATCCATCCATCCATCCATCCATCCATCCATCGTTGAAATTAATTATTATTATATTTTTCCCCCCAAATGATGTTTAACAAAGCAAGGAAATGTTCACAGTATGTCTGATAATATTTTTCTTCTGGAGAAAGTGTTATGTGTTTTATTTTGGCTAGAATAAAAGCAGTTTTTAAATCAAAATTTTATGGTCAAAATTATTAGCCCTTTTAAGCTATATTTCTTTCTACAGTCTACAGAACAAACCATTGTTATACAATAACTTGGCTAATTACCCTAACCTGTCTAGTTACCCTAATTTACCTAGTTAAGCCTTTAAACGTCACTTTAAGCTGTATAGAAGTGTCTTGAAATATATCTAGTCAAATATTATGTACTGTCATCATGGCAAAGAGAAAACAAATGAGTTATTAGAAATGAGTTATTAAAACAATTGTTTAGAAATGTGTTGAAGAAATCTTTTCTCCGTTAAACAGACATAAGGGAAAAATATACACAGGAAGGCTATTAATTCAGGGGGTTTCATAATTCTGACTTCAACTGTATATATCACATTATTAAAATATAAATATGTCACATATTTATTTTATATATATATATATATATATATATATGTATACATATATATATATATATATATATATAATTTTTTTTTCATTGAATACAGGAGGTTTGTCAGCCCATCACAGTAATACTCTTCTGTGTAGCGATCCTGCATGTGATGTTAAAGCGTCTCTATGAGAGGAAGGAGCTGTAGGAAGTAGATTGCCAGAGGAAAGTTCCAGCCGAGTAGGAATGTCTCTGGCACCATTGTTCTCGTCACTGGACATTAACAGCGTTTTTGCCAGTCCCACTGCAGATGCTATCAGTTACCCGGAAATACTAAGCTCGACTAACAAGCCCACGGCACCCTGACAGAGCCAATGCTGTGCAGCAGTTATTAGTGTTTTTTACACTCGGATTAGGAAGAGCTCAACGTGATTAATGCTTATGCAAATCATAGACCTTTAAATTTCATCCTGTTTAGTTTCTCCATTTCCCATAAGCAAAACGGCACCTTTATATAGTGCTCTGGAAATGTGAGGTTTACTGAAACTAAGACACAAATATTATGGTTTTCGTTAACTAAAAAACTAAAAAAAAAAAAAAAAAAAAAATATATATATATATATATATATATATATATATATATATATATATATATATAAAAGAAAATACTTGTACTACATATTTTTCATCCTATGAACTTTGGTCTGTGGTGGAAAATCTGCTCTGTGGCTGTAGGAAAAGACAAGTTTTGCAGAGCATTTCATGTAAACAGCAAGCAATAAACTTTGCTTAGTTCTACACCTGAAGTGTCCCATAAACTCTGCTAAACTGTCATTTCTAAAGCAGAAACTAAGTACATAAAAGGATTTGTTTCAGAATTGAATTAGCGAAGGCTTCCTGATGGCAGGGACTCACAGAATGACATTTTGACGGCGTCTCCTTCTCTGATCTTCCAGAAAGCTCCAGCCGCTCAGCAGCAGCAGCAGCAGTAGCCAGTTGAAAAGCTTCCAGTCCAGCCATTCATTCCACAAAACCTCAGGGGATTCTCCATCCCAACTCAGCCCTGTCAAGACTCCCTCCATGGTAAATATGCACCTATAATAAGAAGTGCTACTTTTCCGCAAGTCGCACTCAGCACAGTTGAAAACTTTTGGATGTTGTATTGTGTGCGTTGTCTCTGAAATGGACTACTAAATCCTTGTGATTTAGTAAAACTGACAGTTTCCCCAAAGAATTACAGACAATTACTCTTAATTTACTCTCCCTCAGACTATCTCAAGATGTAGGGGACTTTTTTTTTTATAGTTTTTTCGCAGGAGAGCGTTAGATTGGGAGGAAAAAACAACACATAGACAAGTCAAAGCTATTACCTGTTGTTTCTTATAATAGATTAAGGTCTTATGAAGCACAATGATTAGTCAGTGCAAGAAACTGAATATTATTTACACATGTCTAAAAATTACTACTACACCATGAATACTTTTTATTCTTACTTCGATATGCTAGCCTGGTTTGCACAAGTTTCGTGTAATTTTTAATCATTCTTTCCCATGATATAAGCAATGTTTTTCTAAATGTCCATTTTCTTTAAAATAGTCGTTTGAAATAGCGCCAAGCAGTGAGCTTCTCTATATATTTCAAAGGATTTTAACTGGCTGTCAGAGTTTTATAGTTTTATTAGCTAAGAGTTTTATTAGCTAAGAAAAAGGGATCCGAAAGTGATCCCAACCATACAGTTTCTCTACATCTTTATTGTTATTTCTGTGGTCTACATTCTGCTGTTGTTTTACATGCAAAACAATTTCTGGAACTCTATCGCTATCTTTATATACACTCACCGGTCATTTTATTAGGTACACCTGTCCAACTGCTTGTTAATACAAATTTCTAATCAGCCAATCACATTGCAGCAACTCAATGCATTTAAGCATGTAGACATGGTCAAGACGATCTTCACCGGGTGCGACTCCTGTCAGCTAAGAACAGGCAACTAAGGCTACAATTCGTACAGGCTCAACAAAATTGGACAATAGAAGATTTTAAAACATTGCCTGGTTTAATGAGTCTTGATTTCTATGGCGCCATTTGATTGGTAGGATCAGATTTTGGCATCAACAACATGAAAGCATGCATTCATCTTGCCTTGTATCAATAATTCAGGCTGCTAGTGGTGGTATAATGGTGTAGGGGATATTTTCCTGGCACACTTTGGGTCCATTAGTTCCAATTGAGCATTGTGTCAATGCCACAGCTTACCTGAGTATTATTGCTGACCATATCCATCCCTTTATGACCCATCTGTACCCATCTTCTGATGGCTACTTCCAGCAGAATAAAACACCATGTCATAAAGCACAAATCATCTCGGAGGGTTTTTTTGAGCATGACAATGAGTTCACTGAACTCAAATGGCCTCCACAATCACCAGATCTCAATCAAGTAGAGCACCTTTGGGATGTGATAGAACGGGAGATTCACATCATGGATGTGCAGCCAACAAATCTGCAGCAACCGTCTAATGCTATTATGTCAATATGGACCAAAATCTCTGATGAATATTTCCAGTACTTTGTTGAATCTATGTCATGAAGGATTAAGGCAGTTGTGAAGGCAAAAACCCGGTACTAGTAAGGTGTATCTTATAAAATGGCCGTTGAGTGTAGTTATTCAAAGTAATTTGTATTTTTCAGCAGTTCTTTTGGAGATATCTCTCTATAAAATAAGCAGCCTCTTGTGACTTAATGCATGTCCTGACTAATTAAGTAGTTGTTTAAAAAAATTGCGGTACACAATGCATTTTACTATAAATATCACATTTTGACAGAATAGTCATTAGCATAAGTGGCACCTTCTAAATCACAGCTTATCATACAGTAAATCACTGTCTTCTCTTTTAACAAAAGTTACGACAGATTAAAAATGTATTTGTACTTGTTTAAAGTACCCGATACTCATGATTTCCTCCACATATGCACAAGGTCAAACAGTGTGGCATCAAAACCAGTGTTCTGAATCAGTCCAAGTAAAGCACTTACCTGTTATACTGGTCAGTGCCCAACCCTAGTCATGACTAAAGTCAGGATTGCTTGCTGATGCTGTGGATTAAAGGTAATAATAATATTAATGTTGTAATTAATGTTATGTTTTACTCACATACTGATTACTATAATCAGTCTTCCACAGATATGAATTGGTTTTTTTTACTTTGCTTTGATATTTTTGTTTTGTTTTTTCACTCTTTGCTTGTAGAAAGTGACTTGCAAATCAAAATAATGTTTTTTTTTAGATGGTAGTATCAGTATGTTAGTCTTAAGGATATCTATAAGCTAGTTCGCTCCTCTAGCTTAGTTACAGGGACAAAATTCACATTTAGAGTTTACAAACATCCAAATCCTGCAGTTTGTTACTTTTGTTTTTTGTCAGTTTCTCATCAAATCTCGACCAATCAAATGATTGCAAGTATCTGACATGTCCCACCCCCTTCAAGGCGCTTCTCATTTGCACTTTATTTGATGCAGTTGAGCTCAATCACTCTCACTGGCAGAGATTATGTGATAAAAAGAAATGTTATTGGCTGTTTTTTTTTTAAAGGGAAGGAGCTGCATGTCTTCATGTTTAATTTGAAATTACATCACACATCGTACAAAAAATAAAAATAAAAATCCACATTTCACAGCACTTTGGGTGACCTTTAATTATTTATTAAAGAAGACAACTAAATCTTGGATGGCCTGATGGAGAGTTAATTAACAGCAAATCTTAATTTCTGAGTGATCTATCTGTTTAAAAACAAGTTGGTCTCTGAAACTGTGATTGATTTACCTGAGTTTGAAGTTCCTCCAGGTTTTTTTTATTTATTCCTGTGAAGGTCATGTTTGGCATCTGCTCTGTGTTTATTGAGATGCTGGAGGCGCTTCAGTTACTGCTGTTTGCAGGAACCAATTAAGCTGCTGATCTACACGATCACTCTTTTCCATCTGCAAACTTTAAATAAATCTCCTCTCTTTCTTCCAGAAACGCCCAGTGCCTTCCGACCATCCAGAAAGTCAGACGCCGAAAAAGCAACGTTTATTAGAGCAGAACATCCCCTTACAGTCTCCTTCCAATGGACATCTCAGCTCGTCTGTGGGCCGCAGCTCTTCCTCTCATGGAAACACAAGTTTGCAGAGAGGTCCGAACACAGATGAGTTTTACCAGAGGCACAAGCTCAACGAGGGCAACAGTTTGCCCAAAACTGAGCAGCCCGAACCAGCAGCGTCCAGCCCCCACAAACACCCCAGAACTGAACCGGAAATCTGCACGGACCAGCAGCTCGCAAACGGCCAGCACAAAAAGAAGAAGTCCAAGAAGCATAAAGAAAAGGAGAGGGAACGTTTAAAACCCGAGTGGGTCGAGACCAGTCCTGACCTCAAACACAACCAGGAGAATATTAATGGTGGGTTATAAGGCCTAAGAGTGTGTGTGTGTTGACTTTTTGTCATTAAGTCATTTAAAAATTAAAATAAAAAGTAAAGTCAACTTGTCACTTTAAGTAAATTGAGTTAGATATAAATTATTTGTAAATTAAACTTACAATATTCTAGTTTTTAATACTTTAATTTCGTTAGTTAGTAATAGTTAATTGTTTTTAAATGCTTTAAAATAGCATGTAATTACTTGGGATGTATCAATTAACCAGTTTCACTATTAACCACTCCCTAATTTGTGACGGTTAATTAATAGTTAGGGCTTCTCAACACCGCGTTTCTGCACAGAACAAAACTGTTGCATCTAAACAAAGTTATGCCAAGTGTGTGCTTGTTAAAAGTTCTGAGGTTATACACCGAGGCTAATATCCATGCCCATGGAACTACAGGCCGATTTTAACTATGGTTGAGGCTATCAAGGGTCGTTCATATATCCTGTCTTTTCTGTGTGCAAATTCGTTTTTTTCCAGTGGAGACACGTGGCTTGCTTGCACATTTTGGCAGCAACGCGTCCACGCTTTCCAGGCGCACCTACTGTAGTTGAAAGAATATTGCGAGCGCTTCGCAAGTCACATGACAAGAACTGACCGATCAGCTTCATACTTTTTATAGACTATACACATTTCTACTCTAAAAAGAAAAAAATAATATAAAAGGAAAATAATAAATTTTGTATTATACTAAAACAATTTTGTAATATACTAAAGACAGCAGTTCAGCAGTTTTTGACTTTTTGTTTTCTTTAAAAGGGAAATACTTAAATAATATGTAGTACGAAATACAAACGTATAAATACATTATCTCAATTTTTGCTAAATTATAAAAGAAAAGGAACATGATTAAAAAGTGCATTAAATAAACATTTAAGGAAAGTAATTAATAAAACAAACAAACTAATAAACAAATTCTTTAAATACAAAAAGGAGAAAAGGGGAGCAACTATTTGCATATTTACAATTCATTTGTACATATACACAATACAATTTCTTAATCTTATCTCATCCATTATGCTTATAGGAATTAGACAGATTACATGCATGTTTGTGAATGTATATAATCATGTAAAGTACGTGTGCACGCATCAGCTTATATTATACATACAGTGATCAGCATAATTGAGTACACCCCATTTTAAAATGAATATTTTTCTCCATTTCTCAGTGAATATAGGCAATGTATTTTGGTGCATTTAAACAAAACCGATTTATTAAACAGATATATTTATTCAAATAATATTTTAGTCACCAAACATATTTCGAAATTGAAAGATATTACAATGAATTTTAACTTTTTTTTCTCCTCTTTTTAAATTTGTTTTTACTATTTTTCTATAACATATAAATTTAGGTGTACTAGTACGTTTTTGGACCATTATCGAGAGTTATTTTGTTAGTTAGGCTCCAGATTTGGCTTCAGTACTGACTAATCTAATGTATACAAATATAATATTGTGTAGCTTCCTGTTAGAAATATGAATTTAAATGATAGGATTCTTGAGGGTTGCATTCATATATGCTGAGCACTGTTTATTTATTTATCAGTTGCACATCTTTTGATTAATTATAGCAACAAACTCAGGCCTTCTTTCTGAAGTGTATTCAACCCATTTGCTCCATTTTCCTAGGAGGACATCCTTGGTAAACTTTTTTTAAAGGCAAAAGAATCGACAGACTACATTTATTGAATAGTTTTTAATTCCACTTATATTATATCTGAGATTATGAAAATGTTCCCTACTGTGTCAAGTAATGATATTAGCAGAAATTGTGGCGATCATGATTAATGCTTTGATTTGTTTTATTAACTTTGCACTGCCAAAATAGCAACAAGTCTTGATTGTTTCAGAGCGTCATACCCACGTCTATGTTTTTAATAAGCATAACTTGTTGTAACATAAATGAAAATACAAAAAGTGTCCTGTCAAGACTGTGAGAAGAGGCTCACAGCGAGACGCTTTTATTTCAACTGAGCTGATGGCAGGACAGGTTTAGACTTGCCAAGCAATTCAGGATATGTAGCTGTATGCTTTGTGCCAATCCACAGATGTGAATTATTAACCCGCTAACAGCTGGCTGACCCACTGTAAAACACACAGCCGTCTCGCTTATCACACAGCTTGAGAAAATGAGTGCATAGCGCTTTGATATGTTTGCGCAGTGAGATTACGGAAAACGTTTTTTCATTGTTGTGTGTGTGTATATGTGCAGATCACGAACGGCCCAACACACCTGTCACCCGCGCCTCGCCTGATCAGCTGCCCGACTATTTATTGTAAGTAAGACTGGTTTATTGTACTGCTTTTTGCTTTTGTAATTACAGGTGGAGACGGAGGTTAATACTCACGTTTCGCCACACCTCCAAATAACCAGTGACTTTGTGAAACACTATTTACTGGCCATTTATTCAATATTTAATAATAAACATCTTAATTAATTAAAGCAAATTGTTTAATTCTAATAAAATATTTCTTAATATCATTTTGTTTGTACAACAGTTATTATTATTTTTGTTGTGGCTGCTATATAACAGCTGTACAATGACTGTACAATACACACTACCGTTCAAAAGTTTGGGTCAGTAGGATTTTGAAATGTTTTAAAATAAGCTTCTCCTGCCCACCAAGACTGCATTTATTTCATCAAAAATACAGTAAAAATTGTAAAATTGTGAAATGTTATTGCACTATAAAAGAACAGTTTAAAATTAGTTTATAATTTAATTTAATAATTTATTCAAGTGATTTTAAAGATGAATTTTCAGCTTCATTATTCCAGTTTTTAAGAGTCACACGATCCTTCTATTATGAATTAATATATTATTATTATTAATATTAGCCTTTTTATTAGTAATGGTTAGAGTAATAAAAGCAATAATGACTGGAGTAATAATTTCATGTGAAACTACATACAATAAGAAAGCAGTTAAGTACATTTGCAATAAATAATTAACAATTTGTTAAACATTTAAAAAAAAAAAATTACATTTAAAAAATGCCACCTTCATGGACAGAATAATTTTCTTTTAAAAATACACACACACAAAAAAACTTTTTTTATAATAATAATAATAATAATAACAATAATAATAATACTGATATAATATCTATCTATATATAAATATATATGTATATATATGTACACACATATATATGAAAAAAAAAAAATATATATATATATATATATATATATATATATATATATATATATATATATATATATATATATATATATATATATATATATATATATATATAATGAATGTATGTATGTATGTATACACACACACACACACTTTTTTCTTTGTTTTTAGAATTTAAAAATAGCTTTTATAATAATAATTTTTTAAAATATTTAATCAGATTATTCATAAATGCACTAAATCAGTAATAAACAAATCTTTAATGCTATTAATTTATAATTATATGACAACTAATATTGATGTTATGTTATTTATATATTTTTGGCTTTCAAATGTTAACCCACATAGCATAAATCATATTTTACATATGAGTGGTTTGTATAATAATTTATATATAAATATAGTTCAATAATCGAAATTGCGTTACTCTCGGACCCTAGGTCCCTAACATGTAATATTAATACAAAAAGTAGAATTTATATATATATATATATATATATATATATATATATATATATATATAGAGAGAGAGATATATATATATATATATATGTATATATATATATATAGAGAGAGAGAGAGAGAGAGGGAGAGGGAGAGGGAGAGAGAGAGAGAGAGAGAGAGTATAGAATTAATAAATACAGTTACAGATTAAATGTAATCTAAAATTATAAGTAAAAAAATACATAATAAATAAAATATATTATATATTATAAGTGTTATTAATAAGAATACATGAAACATTTTCAAATGCAACTAAATGTCTTGCAGAAATCTTTAACCTTCTATGTTGTTTTTGTTATCACATTCTGTAAACCTGAACTAAGGTCACTGATGAAAGAACACATTTAATTTGACATGTACAGTAGTGCCTCCTGCTGGATACTCTTGGAATTCTGTTAAATTCTTCTCACTTGTTAATATAAGAACTTTCTTTTTCCAGAAAATACAACACTATTACAGACTCTGAGCAGCGGCAAAGATACAAAGAGGATTTCTGTGCAGAGTACGATGAGTACAGAGACCTTCATGAGCGCATTGGGAAAGTCACAGAGATATTTGTCCAGCTCGGATCCAAGATAAAAACACTGTCACCTGGCACACAGGAGTACAAGGTACAGAAAAAGACATCATGTACAAAACAGGTCAATGTGTTATATTTGGAGTAGTGTATAATAATAATAATAATAACATCTATATATTTTCACGATTTCACTTCAATGTTTTTATGTTGGTGCATACAGGAGACTTCATTTCTAAATGTAAATACATATCCAGCATTTCTTTTTGACTTTAATGTCTTGCAACTTTAATGTCACGGCTTTGTTGTAAAGGTTACTTGAGGAGGAACGTGTCAACTGCTTACAAGATGATGCCTTGGCAAACCTTACGTAACGGTTACATAATGCATGATGTCAGAGGTTATTTTAAATTAATAGCTTTGGTTTTGATTGTTCTAGGTTATGGAAGATCAAATAATGGAGAAGTATAAGAAGTATAAGAAGGTAAGACAGTCTACAGTTTGAAAGGAGCTGAACTTAATATTTAGGACACTGTGTATAATGTGTTGGGCTGGGTAAAAGCAACATATTTTTGCTAAATGAGCGTTATTTCAGTAATCTGATATTTTTTGGCATTATTTAACATTATTTATATGCTACTGTAGTGTTAAATAATTTTTAATTAGATTTTTTTTTTTACATTTAAATTTAGTTCTTATTAATTTATGTTCTTTGCTTTTCGATATGTGGATTAAAAAATTTAAAACATATTTCAAACATTGTTTTTTTTATAATTGTACGTAAAATGCTATGCTGAGTGAGCATAGATCAACATTTCATATTTCATCGTCAGCAAATCGTATTGTTGAAATTTATTTATTTATTTATTTTTATTTAAATTGTCTTCAATTTATATAAAATGTCTTTTGTAAATATAACTTGATGTGAACGTCAAAAAGGATGTCTTTTTACCCATATGTATTTATATATAGTATTTATTTATAGTATTTTAGTACTTGTTTCAGTAATGTCACAACAACAGATTAACAAAGTTATTCTTTATCAGTTATCTTTATTTTAATTAGTAAATACATTTTATTAACAGTAACACAACCTTTTATGCAGTAATGCACCTTCCTTCCACCAGATGTCGCTATTTTTATGTTATGGAATTCAAATGTCATTTTAAAAATGTGAATCAGAGTTCTTGTTTGATCTACATCATGTTTCTGTTCTTCTCTATCCCTCCAGAAGTTTCCAGGCTACCGGGAAGAGAAGAAGCGTTGTGAATATCTTCATCAGAAACTGTCGCACATCAAAGGCCTGATTCTGGACTATGACCAAACACAATTGCCATCCTAGTGCCAGCCATTCCTCTCTCCTTCTCCTCTTCAATCCACTCAAATGGACCAAAAGACTCCTCAGTGGAGATAAACCAGGACCAAACGTCGACAAGGCATTTCCATGTCTTTCCTCCACACAAACTGGTTTACCGTGTGGAGGCCGAGGATCGTAAGCCCAAACTATCAAACAAAGGCCAAGACCTCTGACTAGTGACTTAAGCCCTTTAAAGTTTTCCTTTTTTGTTGTTGTTTTTCTCGTCCTTGTAAAGGGCTGGTCACACCAAGGATGATATTATACTATAAAGATATCATTATAGAAATCATTCTGAATGAACAATAGCAGACCACAGGTTATAACGATAATCATGAAGAGAGTCAATATAGCTGAAATCGATTTCAAACATCAGTGAATCAGAATCCTTTCTGGGAAAAAAAGTATCCATAAATCTAAAACTGCCAGCTGGTAAATTTTACCCATTCACATGACAATGTTTTACAAGGCTAAAACTGTATTATATTACTGTATTCTGCCACTGGCTTCGCAAAGAAGTATATAAACTTTAAAATAATTATTTTAGTCATCAACTACTTCCACTGAGTGCTACGGTACAGTTTAGTACAGTACAGTACGATTTGGTATGGGTTGCCCTATCAGACTTGTGTTTCTACTGATAACGGTAACCTGACTGTGTACAACAGAAAGTTGCAAGTAACATCATTCTCGCTCAAACAATAAAGCTGTTCGGGCTGTTCACATATCACGTGTCTTGCACACTCAAGTTTATTATTTCAAATGTAGAAGTGTGGCATACGTGCACAATTAGAGCAATGAATCGGCATCCCTCACAGTTTTCACACATTAGATCTGACTTGAACTGCATTGTAAACAACAATGGAGGACATACGGCAGATCCTTTTTTTAGCTGTCTAGGGTTTGTATTTAAAAAGGGCACTTCCTGTGCTGTCATTCCCCTGGCTTGTTTTACTTGCAAGCGACGATTCTCTGTAAACCAATAACGTTCAGTCTAGCTCCACCTTTTGGTACCGTACTGTTATACTAGGTAGAATTACGCAAGTCTCAAAGTGGTATGCTATAATGTAAACAGTGGAAATGGAAATAAATGTGTACCATACTGTACTGAACTGTACTGCTCAATAGAAACAAGCCATATGATGTCGACCCAGTACACACCATTCACCCTCTCTCAGACCTGCCGCCTCTATGACACATTTTGCATCCATAAATCGCCACCTTGTATCCATTGTAAATAGAAATGATTACAGTTATCTCAGTGGGTGAAAGGTGTTGCCCAACACCCCATTTACACGGATCTTTGGCGTCAAGGCTTGAGGGCGTGTCTGAAGTTGGGGCTGATGCGATCGTCATAGCAGCGTTAGCCAATGAAATGAGTCTGCAATAGGCCACTGTCTGAGCTGGTGTATTTGCATACAGCAATCTGATTGGCTGGCACTTTCGTCGATGCTTAAAAAGTTGAGCAAGTCCCAACTTCTGCAGCGAGCAACACCACTGAAGCGGCACAGATCCACAATGCAGTTCGGCAATGCTTGACATCACCCATTCAAAGTGAATGGGAAGCATTAAAGCTGATGTCCCGTGTGAATGGGGAGTAACAACATAGAAGTTGTGCAAAGATGACAGAGAAAAAAAAGAAGTTATAGAGTATAGGTAAATTTAATCGCTTCTGAATAAATATCTTATTTTTAATCTGGTTTTATAACGATTTTTAGCAACAGGTATTAGTAGTGATTTAAGTAAAAGTCAATAATTAGGAGGCTTGCATATGAAAACCAGCTATAGGTAAATCCAACCTTTAAAAATATGAAATACCTCAGAGATATTTTGGCATTAGTTTTAACATCATTGTCTTACCTCCTTCAAAGAAATTTTGAAAAATAAGAATTTAAACAAAAGCTATTTGTGTTGTTTTCACTCATCTACATTGGCTACGCTTGATAAATTGATTTTTATATTAGATAGGTTACACAAGCTGGATTCACTAGCCCGATGAACTAGAAATGCAGCAAACTATTGGGTTAAATACAACCAAAAATAGCAAAACCCTTTAACATGGTTATGGCACACTGTAAATATTTTCACATCTCATGCTTATCATCGCAGTTTAATGCCTCTAAACAAAGATGCCAATGTGCCACACGCAAAATGCCAGACTTAAAGCGTATTTTTTTGGGAAAATGCTTCAGACTTTCTATTTTGTTATTTGATGTGTCAAACCGTAAACAAAACAGAGTTTTGCAGCATTTTCACAGTACTTGTCACTCACTATGAAAGGATGTGATGTGCAATTATGTCTGACACACTATTAATACATAGCATTTGCAAACACTTTAAAGTCATGACACGCCAGCATTTTTGCGTTCACTCTTACTTGAATATTTTGCTTGGTTTCGTCACTTCAGCTTTTTGTAAAGCGCTCTCTTTCACTGACGACTGACACTAATTCTACATGATAAATAGGTCTACTTGCTCCGACTTTAACCCAACATGGGCCAACGTGTGGAAAACCTCAAACAAACTAGCTGGACCGATGCTAAATTACGCTTTCGGCCATTGGTTTGGTGCAGGGATGACCAACCCTGTTCCTGAAGATCAAGCGACCTGGAGGTTTCAGTTACAACCCACATCAAACACACCTGCCTGCAATTATCAAGTGCTTTTCCGGTCCTTATTAATTAGTTCAGGTGTGTTTGATCAGGGTTGGAGCTGAACTGAAGGTAGATCTCCTGGAGCAGGGTTGAGCAGCCCTGGTTTACTGTCAGAAGCATAACAGTGTGCATTGTCACTAGCGTATTTCTGTTTTTCACTAAGCACTAACTAATGTTAGAGTGATTTTGCACATTCACTCTACTCAAAAGTGAAAACCATGTGGGTATGAATGCCAAAAATGTCTTTAAAAAAACAGATGATAAGCATGAATGAAAATCGTCCCAGTGTGCACGAGCCTTTATGGTTTCTTCCAGCACCTCTTGTCATTGAAAGATCTAATCTACACAACAGCATCTGTTTTTCTTCCCTTTAGTGTCCATATATAAATCAACAGCTGATCATCGGCATATACACTATTCAACTTTTTAACCGTTGATCAAAGTTGTCCCAAAACCTGACACCTGTTCTTGTTTTAGGACAGTTTTGAAAATCTTTTATGATCTACTTCAAATGTCAACATCTATATTTAATATAATTTGAAACCGCTGTGCACTATAAACAGATCATTATGGTTCTCTAGTATAAACTGTGATATAGTTATTATATATATCATTCTTGGTGTGAACGGACCTTAAAAAGTGTTGCATTGTGAAATTTGGTTAGACGTGAGACACAACTGAAGCCAAAATAGTCTTATCCCCAACCCAAATGCAGCGTATATGTTTAGCTGTGGCCCTTTTCCTGCTAACTTCAGCTCTGAGCTCTGATATTCAGCGCTGCGGGAAGCATTGGTGGTACAATCATTAAACCTGTACGATGAGAGATGATTATCTTTACTGTGTTCGCTGTCTGTCAGTGATTTATCGGAGAACTTAAGCACAGTTTCTATTTTGATATTTTACTGAATGTATATTTGTACACTTGTAAGATCTCGACATCTATAATAGAGCGTTTAATCACTGGATAGAATAAGGGAAACCTCTGGGCTCATCCTGAAAAATGTAAGGTTGTCGTTTAAATGGCAGACTCTTAAACCCTGGTGTGTTGTGGCACGGTGAGTTCTGGGATCCGAATTTAATCTTCAATTCCTGAAGCAAGTCGTGAATGAGGAAAGGTGCTTGTCATTGAGGCATCAGGGTGAAAAAAAAAAGAAAATCAACGATAAAGTTAGAGCAGTGGTAATACTCTCATGATTTATTTTATTTTATTTATTTGTGTCCAAGGTCCAGTGCTCAAACATGTGGAAGCTTGTGTCTGACGTGGACGTGAAATAAATAAATAAATAAATAAAGGTAAATGCGACTTTTTGTCTCGCAATTCAGACTTTTGTTTTAAAATTGGATAAAATTAATTTCATAATTTCAATTTATAAACTCTAATAATTGAGCATTGCAAGATATGAACCGTAAGAAATAATATCAGGGATGTGAAGCAGCCTTTGTACTTGCAGTTGCGAAAAAAAAAAAAAACAGAATTGCCAAAAATAAATGAATAATTGAAATTGCAAAATGGCTATAAACATGCAATTTCGAGTAAACATCACAAGAGTTTTATCAGAGAACTGCCACTTTTGTCTTGCAGTTTTCCGACATATATACAGTGTTCAGCATATATAGGTACACCCCTCACAAATCTAACTTTGAATTTATATTTTTAATAAAGAGCTATACAATATTTGTGCATATATAGTAGATTAGTCACTACTGAAGCCAAATCTGGAGCTTATCTAACAAAATAACTTACGGTAAAAACTAGTACACCTAAATTTATATGTTATGGAGAAATAATAAATACAAATGTAAAAAAAAAGGAAAAATCAATGGAGGAAAATTTAGTTTAAATTTTGTAGGTTGTAATTATTTTTGCAATATTTTGCTTGAATTTAATTGTAATATCTTTCAATTTCTAAATATGTTTGGTGACTAAAATATATATTTAATAAATAGATTTAATTTAATAAATTTGTTTTGTTTATATGCACCAAAATACATTGCCTATATTCACTGAGAAATGAATAAAAATACTCATTTTTAAAATGGGGTGAACTCAATTATGCAGAGCAATGCATATATGGGGAATAAAATCAGAACATGAAACAGTGACGAGTTACAACTTATCTTGTAACTCTGCCACTGTCTATTTTTTTAAAATATAATGAGAATTGCAAGTTAATTTCTCTTCTAGCTCACTTTTTTGTGCAGTTGCCATCTTGTATCTTAGACTTTCTTGCAAACTCAGTATTTTAAATTTATTCCTTAACATTTTAAAATATTCAGAAGTCAGAATTGTGAGTTTTTAAGAATTTATTGTGAAACAGACCAACAACTTGAAGATTTTAGTTCATTTACACTACCAGTCAAAGGTTTGGTGTCAGTTTTTTTTTTTAATAAAATTATTCTGTTCATCAAAGTGACATTTATAAATATTTATATTAATAATGTAAATAACTGCTTTCTTATTGTTTGTAGTTTGAAATGAAATGATTACTCCAGTCATTATTGCTTTTATTACTATTACCATTACTACTAATAATAGCAATAATAATAAAAATTAAAATTAAAGAGATTTCTGTATACTGGAGTAATGAAGCTGAAAAATCATCACTAAAATCACTGGAATAAATGATTAAATTAAATTATGAACTTCTTTTAAACAGTTACTTTATAGTGCAATAACATTTCACAATTTTACAATTTGTACTGTATTTTTGATTAAATAAATGCAGCCTTAGTGGGCAGGAGAAGCTTATTTTTGAAACATTTCAAAATCCTACTGACACCAAACTTTTGACCGGTAGTGTAAGTTAAAATTTTGCAATTGGAGAACTGTTATAAATTCTTGTTATAAACTCAGAATCACAAGTTAAAAGCTCTTCAAAAAAGGCCAGATTTATTAAATGAATGTTAGATCTAAACTGCTAATTATCATATATATTACTATTATTATTATATTGTGAGAGGGAAAAAATAACAGGTTATAGCATGCAATTTATTGATTTATATTTCACCTTTTTTCTTCTCAAAATTGCAGAATTGTGAGATATTGGATCTATTGTGAATTGTGAAAGGACAAAAGTCTGAATTTTGAAATGAAAAGTCACTTTTTTTTCCTTTGAAAGAAAACGACTTACCGTACAAACCACTACAGCACACCGTGTCCTTAAAATAATGATGCTGATAACATTGTTATTATTATTATTGCTGTTATCCGGACACTAAACAGCAGAAACAATCATGTTTTAAAGCACATTTAGTTTCTTTTATTCTCTCTTTTTCTTTTTTAAATGTATTGAGAAATGAAAGACTGTATTCATTAGCTTATCTGTTGGATATGTCGGGGTGATTCAAAGTCTGATGTTGTTATTGATTTAATCTCATGAAGTTTGAATGAACTCTGCGTTCTTACCCTTTAAAGCATGAAGGCGACCTTCATAGACTGCGTCAGGCTGATTGATGTGAATGAAAGTAATACAGTATGTCTGTTTTCCCAAGAATGTAGTACTTGATGAACACAGAATGAGGATCTCAGCGGTTTTCTCATTGAACATTACGAAACCACCTAAACTTTATAGAAGTCTTTCCAAAGTCGTCATTCCTGATCAAGCCCATAGCCTCATGTACATTATGGAAGTATTTTTTGTCACTTTTGCGCTTTGACATTTCTCTTGTGGAGACTGCTGATTTGTTATTTATGTCACTACAGTGTTATTTCCTCTAATCCTTGATCCTGATTTTGTTATCTGGCTGGAAAACTGGTAGATCTGCCAAAATAGCATTTGCTCTTTATATTGTTAACAGTTTGTTTCATCCTTTCATGGGGCAACTTCATGTATCGATGCAGATGCCTTAAATAAACTGGACCACATTAACTTAATGCGGTGCAAATGTCTTCTATTTTGATTGTCAGTTCAGTGTTAGCATTGTATTGCTTATGATAACCAAGAGTACATTTACACAACACTATCGTCAACTGAAGATGCACAGATGCTTTCTTTTAAAATGAGCGTTTTTATCAGGCTTGTCTGTGTAGGTTCAGTAGTTTCCCTTTTATGGCAATCAATAACTTCTTTCCATGGTTGTTAAAGTGAAATAACAATAAACATAGGAGGCTAAGAAAAATGCTTATCTTCAGTGGACATTTCAGAGTATTTTTTTATTTTTTTATTTTTGTATCTGAATGATAATAACGGAATAACTGTATTTATGTTCTGTTACAATTCTGAAGGTTCTGGAAATGTAGTTTTTGTGTAAAAAATAATGAAAATGCTGATATCATGCATTTATTGTGTTCCGACAGCCAATTCGAACGTTATCACTCGATTGAATAGATTTTCATAATTTTAGACATCATAAAAAAGCAGAACGTCATATTCAGAAGTTACCATGCATTCCATGCTGTTGTTTACATACGAGTATATCCATAATGTCTGTACACATATGGGTAATTGACAAAATTGTGACATGAGTGAAAATAACCTTATCTGCTCCCGATTCGAATGTTATCACTATTAAGTGTGTATTATCAGTGGTTATCAGCTGATAGATATCAGCCAGTAGGGGCCTTCTCCGTCTAATGGTAGGCTCAGAAGGCTGTGATTGTCCATCCACATTGTTAATCAGCTATAGATCACATACAGCTGTGGCCCTAAGTTAACGAGAATTATTTATATTTTTTATTAAATTTCCTATAAATTGTATTTTATTAACGTCAACCCCTACCCCAACTCTAAACCCAACCATCACTGTAAAGTAAAAACAGATCTGGATCTGGAGTCTTGTCTTAGTACACAGTAGCTCACAGGTGTCAAATCCAGTTCCTGGAGGGCCGCAACTCTGCAGTTTACCTTTATCCCTAATTAAACACACCTGGTCAAACTAACCGAGTCCTTCATTTATGTGTTAAACCTACAGGTAAGTGTGTTGAAGCAGGGTTGGAACTAAACTGTGCACAGAAGGCCCCTACTGGCCTATATCTATCGGCTTATAACCCCTGATAAAGCCTATTCAATCGAGTGATAACATTCGAAGCGGATGCAGACAGGGTTTTTTACTTTAGTCACAATTTGGTCAGTTACCCATATGCACGCATATACTAAACAATAGCATGTTGCATGGTAATCTGTTTATGAATAAGATGTTCTTTTTTTTATGATGTCTAAAATTATGAAAATATGACTAATTAGAAAAGGAGTGTAATAGTTTGACAAAGGTAATTTAATTGGCTCTATTTGGCTTGATTGATCTCTCTCTGTATTTGTCCAACTGATCAATACAGGACTTAACATGACAGTAATTAATAATTTTCAGCAGAAGTAATTGGCAAAATATGACAGTTTGATTTGGTTTAGTTATATTGTTGACATTCTACTCTAATTAATGACACAAATACTCTATAGACGGGCACCTTGACAACCAAAACAACAACACCTGAGGCCTGATGTATCAACGGACTGCGTACACACAAAAATTTCGGGGACGCCAGGTTTCACGTTTACGTTTAGATTTACTAACGATAAACCAACTTCATGTCTGGCGTACGTGTATTTCTAGTGTGTTTGGTTTATTTCCATTGGTGACTCCTAGAAGCAGAAATTCCACACTGCAAAGTATCACACCAACACATGTGAAAACAGTTATGTATTTATTTTTTACCAACTATGTGATTAACAACATATAAAAGCATTTGCAAATGTATTCAACCCTTAGTCTATGGCAATGGCAGTGTTGGCCTTATTAGAGCACATTGTCAATGGTCGAATCCTATGGGAATGCATTTTTTAGGGATCCCAGTGATTTTCTGGCCCACGATGATGACGTTTCAGATTTCCAAGAGCTATTCTTTTGGAGCTCTGTGCTGAGTTGGGTCCAAATTTGGAAAGAGAGACAGCGAGGAGGCTCCAAGGTGGCATGGTGTGCGATGGGTGGCTTCTGGGTGAGTGATGTATTTAGAGATATTATTCCAGCTAGTTTTATTTTATTTTAATATTATTGAGTGTTATTATTTAACTGCATATCAGGAGACAGTGGTTATTCATTAATGACGTAGCTGTTAACCCCCCTCAACAACTCACAAACTGACCAATAGCGCAGATACAATGATGCCCATTCTTGCACTCTGTAAGTTGTAGATTGGGCAGCTGAAATGCCAGTGATGCTGCCTTGATCAGAGCGGAGGGGTGCTGCTATACCGCCTCAACAGTGTTCCACTAATACAGGGGTTTCTAAACTCGGTCCTGGAGGGCCGGTGTCCTGCAAAGTTTAGTTTCAACCCCAATCAGACACACCTGGGCTAGCTAATCAAGCTCTTACTAGACTTTCTAGAAACATCCTTGCAGGTGTGTTAAGGCAAGTTGAAGCTGAAATCTGCATGACACCGGCCGTCCTGGAATGAGTTGGGACACCCCTGCTCTAATACATCTGTCTCCGGCAACACTCTCTTCAACGGGTGTTCAGCATCCCCTGTTCCGTCCACACTTCAGCGGTACACCGCTGTTCTCCTCTTAACCTGCACCTTTACATACATCTGATTTTTTATTTATTTTTTAACTGTGTACGCACATTTACAGCTTTGTCCCTATGCTACACAAGTCTTTGTACATGAGGCCCCAGGACTGCATATGTGCAGAACTTTCGGGAAAGGTCTGTATGTGTGAAAGAGGCTTATGTCAAAATTTTCCATGCCTTCTGCAACAGGTTAGGGTGCACTCTTAGAATGGATAATACTACACTCATAGTAACTAAAGTAACTAGAAACTATTTGAATTTTTGAATGAACTACATTTTTGATATCAAAATTGATATCCATACATTGTTCAACTAACATTTCAAACTAAGAAATGCTACCAAGGGAACTAACTTGAATTAAAAAGTTGAAGCAAGTACTCCTAAACCTAAAACAAACTGCAAATTGAATCCCCACTTCCAAACAATCAATAGATAATGCATTTAAATATTCATGAAATGCAAATGAATTTTGTAAAGCTTTTAAATGTATGATTGAAATTATGAAAGTATGATTGAAACATGAGAATACAAATAAATCAACCAAAACCCTTTTAACACAGCATATAAATTCCTTTATTAAAGTTCACAGTTTGTTCTTAAAGCGGTTTGACAACGGTGTAGAATCAGTGTTATAGAAGCAATAACCAATAGAACCTTAAGATCTTACACCTAAAGTGAAATAAACATCTGTAAACAAGTCTGTCGGAATGAGGTAGGAAACATCTAAAATGACAGATGCTTTTCTCCACAAAAGAGGAGACTAAATGTTTAGAGCACACTACAGAAACTTGAGCATTTCTCGTCTTTTCTAATAGATGGAAATAAAATTTTCTAGTTTCAAAAGAAGTGTTAATCTACCCTCATATTCCTATCAGTACCATAGTAATCAAAATCTCTAATAAAAGAGTGCATAATACATGTGTAATATTTACCCACAGATGCCACAAACAGATGTGGTAAGGCACTATTTAATGAAAGCGTACACAGCTTGTGGTTAATCACATTGCAAAATATCATCCAATTTTTTGTCTTTATTTTGTGCAAAACAAGCCCTGCACTTCATTATGGGAATGCACTGTTTTCCCTTACAGTATATGCCAATTAAGTTGGTCCCTTCACAAAATGTCATCCCAAAATAAGTGAAATGTCCCGAACTACTCCCCCTTCTAAGGTGCATGATTTACCCTTTTTAGCTAAAATTAAGACTTTGCAGGAAAAACATTGTTTTTTTAATCTAATGCAAGTGAATGGTGCTCAAATTAAGAGTCCAAATTATGCTCATGGTGGGCCAAATTGCATATTTAGGCAGCATCAATGTAATCAATTAGTAATTAATATTTATTAATAAATATTTAAACTTTTTGCTATGTTAAAAACTTTATCTGTTAGCTTGATGTGGATTAATTCGATGTAATCCAAATTTAGACTTTTCCCCATCTAATCCAATGGTCTCAAACTCAACTCCTGGAGGGCCGCAACTCCGCACCGTTTTGCTCCCACCCTAATCAAACACAGCTAAACCAAATAATTGGTGTTCAAAAAGTAATAAACACCTTCATTAGTTGAATTAGCTGTGTTTGATTAGAGTTGGAGCAAAACTGTATAGAGCTGCAGCCCTCCAGGAGTTGAGTTTGAGACCTATGATCTAATGCAGGAATGTCCGAACTCAGTACTGGAGGTCTGCTGTCCTGCATAGTTTAGCCCCAACTTCCTCCAATACACCTGCCTGGAAGTATACCTGAAAGAGGTTGCTTAGCTGGTTCAGGTGTTTTTAATTGGGGTTGGAACTAAAACATGCAGGATACTGGTTCTCTAGGATCGAGTTTGGACACCCCTGATCTAACGCATAGGTGTCAAACTGGATTCCTGGAGGGCCGCAGCTCTGCACATTTTGCTTCAACCCTAATCAAACACAGCTGATCCAAATATTCAGGGTGTTCAAGACTACTGGAAACTATTAGACAGGTGTGAGGTGGAGGTTGGTAGACCTAAACTATGCAGAGCTGTGGCCCTTCAGGAATTGAGTTTGAGACCATTGATCTAATGCATGTAAATCTCAACAAATATTAAGGCAGATTAAAATTTAGTCCAAAATCAATTATTAAGCAGCTTTAAACGAATATACATAACCCCAGTCAACAAACAGCAAAACAATCCATCATTTTCATCGGGGAAAAGAAATTTTTTCACTACAGATGACACTTATTTGTTGGCTGAGGTCATGTTGGTCACATGTAGCTGCCAAGATGTTATGTCTCTCTATAGAAAACAAAAAATAGTGATCTTATTTTTCTCCACCAATTGCATGTGAACACAGTTCAGTTCTGACATTTTTGACAGTCCAAAATCCATATTAAGGCAGCTCTAAAAGTAATTTACATAAACACATTTGACCATCAATGAAACAATCAGTCATTTCAATAAATACAAATAAATAAATAAATGATATACTTAATAAATACACATGCTGGCAGTTTAGTCTGCAACCACTCAAATTACATAAGTACTGAATATGACTTGAGATAAGATGATTTCCTTTTTGTTTAACTGCGCTCATGGACAATTTGAAGCTGAGCAAATATGGATTACTGTATGTATGAAAAGAAAATTAGCAATGAGCTTGTACACTTGCATTAGATGTAGAGAAACATCATTAAAGGGTTAGTTCACCCCAAAATGACATTTTTCATAATTTAGTGCCCCTTAACGTTGCACAAACCTGTTTGTATTTCAATCTTCCATTAAACGCCAAAGAAGATATTCTGAAAAATCCTAAAAATCAAACAATTGACTTCTATAATATGAAAGTCAATGTTTACCAGTTTTTAAACATTGTTTAAACGTTCTTCAAAGCATTTTCTTTTGTATTCAACAGAAAAAGGAAACACATGAAGGTTTGGAGGCATCTGAGGGTGATAAAATAGAGTATATTTGGGGTGAACTATCCCTTTAACTCTTTCCTCCAAAATCATAGTTTCTTTACAAATAAGTAAAGCAAGTCAAGTATATCCTGGGAGTGAGTAAATAATCATGTAATTATATTCTTTTTAGGGGAAATCTAGTCCTTTATTAGTAGTCTAATTTAACACTAAAATAATCTCAAAGTTTGTTCGGAAATGATCTCCAGGATTTTACTTTAAGGTATTTTCCTATTTCCTACGTCATGGCTTTATTTTAAGAGTGGGCCTCAAGACTGTCAGTATGCCTAAAAGCGAGGACACAAGCCCACAGAAGCCCACCACCCCTGCATTTGTCTGGTAAATACCCAGTTTGTCAAGTGGAATGAAAAGGTCACAAACATTTTTAAGCGTATCAAGCGCCACAGACGGCTGACTTCTGAGGCTCTCCATGAGAAGAAAGAGAAACGCGTCGAGCTGAGGCACAATGACACAAGCCACATCCGGACTTTCATTAAGGTGTTGGTCGGCTTTCTGCTGGTAACGTCTGTCCCGAGACTTCTGGACCATTAGCTGGATGATCGCATAGACGTCTCTGGTCAGATTCATGACCAAAGACAGGAAATAGAAGCGAGAGGAGTTTAAGCTCCAGCGCTCCTTGTCGATATCTCGGATTAGGCCAATGCTTCTTGCCCAGAGGATGTTGTCACAGATGAAGTATAAGGCACGGTTGAGGTTGGCCACAGTAAGGCAGAAGCGCAGGACAGGGTCAGAAATATGAAGAGTGCTCTTGGCAGCTTGGACTGAGTTTACAGTGTTACCAAGCCTAAATACTGTAAAAAGAGCAAAACAGATCAATTATATATGATGTTCATTTTTAATCTGTCAAAATTGAGGCAAAGCTAGATGCTGCATTGTTTAATTACAACTATTACTTTAAATATGTCAGTATGCAGTGGGGAAAAAATGGAAATTGTACTCAAATTGACTGTTTTTTTTTTTGTATACTTTCTTTCATGACATTACAAACTGTCTCTAATAAACATTGAGACAGAAATTCAGATATTTCTAATGAATCCTGAAAGCTTTCTTTCCGTCCTTTCATTGACAGTCGAGATGAAATAACACATTTCAAATCATTTTACCCATGCCAAAGCAGTTTAACTAAGAAGCTAAAGTGCCTTTATTGTGTGATTTCAGATATTATCTTTTAGTGTGTAATTTAGCCTTTTCAAGACATAGAATGTCTACGAATTTCTAAAGAGCGTGCTAAATCATTCTTCTAAAAAGAATGAACCAATTATGAGCAGCTTGAAGTGAACCATCAGTAACACCAGCTTTATTTTCTGAGGAAATTCCACATCGATTTGTAATAAACTTTCGTAATGCCAACTTGTGGTCTTCATTGGCTGACAATGAATAAAATCTGCTTTAACCCTCAAACACAAGTTGAAGTTGGAAAGCTATGTGAAGTTTATTTATAAACTAATTTCGAAGGATCACGTGCTTATGATTGTTTACGGCTGGTCCCGAATTAGCTTATGGTTGATTCACCAACCACATGATTCCTAACTCACTATAAATAACCAGAGTTTCTTATCTTAGTATATTCGTCTTAAAGACCTTCCAGGGGCAGACTTAACCAATAAGCGAGGTAAGCAGCTGCTTAGGGCCCTGGGGAATTAGGGGGCCCCGACCAATGCCTAGAAGCCTATATTAATCGTATAGCTCTTTTATTAATTTTCTATCATATGTTTTAAAACCTGTCTATAACCATTAAGATTTTGCAGGTCTTCTTAAGAAGACCTGCAAAATCCTAATGGTTATAGACAGGTTTTAAAACATATGATAGAAAATTAATAAAACAGCTATACGATTGATAGTGGAACGTTTCTTTCATACTGCACATGCAAATATTAAAATCTAATCACAAATATGGCTAATTAACTGTACATATAGTTTGTTTTTGAAGTTTTTTATTGTATTTAATTTTACATTAAAAACATAAAGGTTCCACTTAAAATTAACATGCAGTTTTTTTTTTAATCTACAAAGGAAAGAAATATCTATAGAGAAAGAGAGTTCCTCTCACTGTACAAAAAACATACAACCTAACTAAATTGAACATACCAAATAGGCATCATAGTCAAGCTCTTAGCAAGCTGCATAGCTTTCCTTGGCCATTCAGTTAGCCAGAAATAAGTCTGTGGAGTTCATCGAGATCTACCTGAGCTCAAACTTCCTTCTTGCCCTACTAATGGGAGGGGGCCGCGGGCTTGTGGATCTTATAAGCTCAGGGCTCTCTCCCAGGACAGCATTCCAAACAAGTTTTATTATCAATCATCAGTTAAATGTGAACTCTTAAAATAAGATATATTGAAAGAACACCCAAGCATTGTGCATTATGAACTGGTTAATCGGCTACTTCTTGATATTGATGTGATACAGTAAAACCAACATTATTGGTACTGTTTATATATTAATGTTTATTGGGATGCTGAGGAAATGTCCAGATCTGAAATTCAAATGCAGTATTGGACGGTTGGTTTTAATGGACCAATACCAACAAACTGGACCCTCTGACCAATCAGAGTGCAAGCTATCAGAAAGGATTGGTTCAGAGATACCATCATTCATTAAACTATTTCAGACAGTAGCTGTGTCCCAATTCAAAGGCTGCATCTAAAGAGTGATTATGTCAGTGGCGGGATGAATGCTGTCCCAAATTGGAGACTAAATGTGTGCTTTGTTTCCTGGGATATGAAGGAACCAACTGATGCCTTTCATAACCTTTGTTGTCAACACTATCCCAATAATGACTGTGCACTGCTTATGACAATATTATATGCTGTTGATGTTGTTATTTTTATTAATATTAAATGTTGAATATTATTTTTTATTTATAGAACTGCATTACAGTATATTTGACTAAACAACACAAATGTTTAAAACAGACATTCAAATGGTGACTTCCATCTTATAAGATACACTTGATGAATAATAATGTGCTAAATACAAAACGCTTTCAAACTGTTTAATATAATTTTTAAAAACAAGAATGTTATTGCCATTTGTCAATGGCAGATATTGCAATGCTTCATAGACTAGACCCCCTTATTTAATAATGTTTGGCTTGGCCTTTGGGACATCAAAAGCCATGCCTTTAAAGTATGTGTAGTCCATAGGGCTGTGCTATTTGGGGAAAATATCTAAATGCAATATTGTGACTTTGAGCTTAAAGCTTCAGCTCAATAATCTGTAATGTAGCTTCTTGCTGCTAAAATGAAGTGAGTGTTAAAAACTGGAAATATATTAATTTACTTTTATATAAAAATAGTTTTTAAATATTAAGAAATTTAACACTGCATTTTTCTCTAAACCAAACAGTAAGCACCAATAAAGTGACCTTAAGTTCAACTCAAATTAGGGAGATAGTAATAAAAATATATAATTATAAAAATTCAGCAAACAGTCAGTAAACAAACACGGCTAATAAGAGGCTTTATGTAGCTTATATAATCTAAAAACAAAACAATTCACAGATGCTACACAAAATATCAGGACATTCAACGTACAGCTGTGATAGTGCAAAATAGCAAAAAAATTTATGATACAGAAGTGTATATTTCCTATCCAGCATTTGGGTTTTTAAATCCAATTTTTTTAAATGGTCACTGCATTAAAAGGCACCGTGTACTTAGCGAGGTTGTGAGTTATTTTAGTTATCTGCTGGTGCCTGTGTGATGTTTTTTCATATGGTATAACAGCCGCAAACAACTGAAATTGTACTTTGTTGTTGCTAGTGTCACTGCCAATACTTTACACTCCTTATATAGCCCCCTGTGGTGTTTTTAGGTGCTGGTTGTATTTCCTCGTGCTGGCAACAATTCTGTGACAGCTCATACAAATGACCTGTTTTTGTTCAGTGTCTGTGACTTTAAAACCAAAATATTTGCATATTACCAATGCTGTTTTTACATTTATATTAATTAGTCTATTAATGCTTCTGAAGGAGCAGACACCTTCATCCCACTCGTCTGCGCTTTCCTGTTTGTTTGTTTTTTTTGTTTTTTATGGTGGGAGTTCCACATTGTTCCATTGCACAATTCTGATTGGGCAATACAAAAGTGTACTCACTTAATTGGCTAGTAAGACTGTCACATAGTAAGACACATTGACAGCAGTCAGCATTTGCTCTGAATGGGGGAAATTAAATAATATACATTACATTTCATATCGCAGCCTCTTGCGATTAGCGCACGTTTCAAATCATAATTGTGAATTGATTAATCGCACAGCCCTAGTTGTCTAGTGAAAAAATGTGATTTCTGAACTGGGACACAGCTCCTGCATGAAAAGACTTGAAAGCTGTATACATTATGAGAAAATTATTATTATTTTTTTTTTTACTTGTGATTCTTAGTAGATCCCCATAACAAAATTAGGAACCTTTCAATTAGCATAATAGGGGTACTTTAATTGTAGCCATGGGCACATACATTCATTTGCACATTTAACGTGAAAGGAATCTTTCAGTAATTAATCACAATGGTTTCTTGTGTGAACTGTAAAGATACTATACATGTAAAAATGGAAAAAAAATATTACTAACTGAGAATACTTAAACATTGTCTAATAATTTATTATCCTATGTTGGACAGGTAGTACTGACAAAGAACTGAACGTTTTTGTGAGTGTTTTTATATTATGTAACAGCATTCTTACGCTTTCGCCCCGAGCTCATATTAGACTCCAGCAACTGCAGCTTTTTCGCCAGCTCTTTTCTTTTCGCTTCATTTCTCAGAAGGTATTTCGCCAAAGCACATGCATATTGTGTTGCCCTAAAGAAAACAAACATATGAACGTTTAGGCACAGTCTAGCTCATTTTATGCCACGTAATTTTAACTCAATGTCGTTTTTGACAGATGACAAGAGACTGACCTGAAAATGCGATCCCTTCCTTGACTTTGGTTCGTGAAGCTGATGAAAGTTTCCATGTGGCTGAAACAACTAACTTACCGTGAAACAATACTGTGCAAAAGAGATTCTTTCGGGAATAAATAACTAAAGCACCAAAGCGCAATTCATACTAAACCATGTGTGTGTGTCCTGTCAGACACGATCCTTGTCGACTGTAGGAACAGGGGTGAAAGTTCATGCACCACACTGTACAAAGACACACTGTTGAAACCATCGAACAAACTTCACGACCCTTTTTAGTAAACAAATATCTTGCTGTGTTTATAAAAGCGATCGTGGTTTCGATCTAAGTAATAATAAGCGATTCAAAATGCACGACACTATAAAAAGCTTCTTATGACGGGCAATGAAAGTCCGATTCATTTTGTGGAGTCGGTTCTTTTGAGCAGTTTAAAACCATTCACCTGCCTTGCGACTGAACGTAATTAAATAACTGTTGCAGATAATATTAGAATCATAAACATTATACCAGCACGTTTTATTTGCATAGTTTTTATATGCAGTGATGGACAGCTTTGTGCCGTACTTTTAGCTCTCTTCGCTTTGAGCAATTCGTGAACGAATCGTTTGAGTCTTTGAATCATTTGACATGTTTCATTGACCCGAATCGCATCATTCGCGTATTAATTTATTAAAAGTTGTGTTCCAATATATACAATACTATTTATTGTGGTATTTAATATATCATTTTTAGATAATGGTAAAATTAAGTGTTTACAAATTCGGAGCTCGGGTATTTTATCGGATGTTTTTGGACGACGGACAAGTCACAACAGTGCCACTTCCTGATTTAACCAACCAATCAGCGTGATTCTTCTCCCTCAGTTAAGCGCAAACCACGCCCCAATGTGAAATAAGGCCAATGCTTGATTCCGCTTGATAATTTGAACCACTGCCATGCGACTGACAAATAAGCTATGGTGTGTTTTAGAGAAATAAGTTCAGGTAGGCATAATTCTTTGTTTTTAGCATAATCTGCCAGTGCCATTATGCAGTTTAACAAACTATGAATGATTGAATGAATTACGTTGCTGCCAATACGACTGATTATTAGAGTACTTCAACAAGCTGTTGAACAGGTGAACATGAACAGGTGTACATGATAAAGTAATAGAATTGTGTTGAAAAAAATCTTCTATTTAAGTATATATAAACTTTATTTTCATCAACTAGTACTCTGGATTGTTTTGCTATGAATAATATATAAACAATCACAGTATACAATCACAGTTTTAGATACGTGAGACCTCACATAAAAGTCACACAACAGACTCATTTTGACAATTCATGCCTTTTATTATTCACATAGTGATTTAAACTATTAAATTTAAAGTGAATCTGTGACGCATTTCTTCCATTTGGTTATTCTCTTTGATGTGACCTGTTACATTTTACTTCTTCAATTAGTTTTTTATTAATATAATTTCTGATCTGGACCCTGAAAGAGAATATTTGATATTGTTCACATTATTATTTTATTAAGCTGGTGTCGTGTTTGAATATTGACCTTAAGTTCAAAATGATAAGATTAAATCTAGAGTTCATCGATGCTGGCAGTCATTCCTTTCAGATGATTAAAATCATACTTTCTACATATAAGAATGCAATTGACTTCATATGTTTGCACACTGTCAGATGGCGTATACTGCATATAAATTACTTTTATTTAAATAAAACTCAGTGTGTGCTCTCATACTGTGATCAGTCCGATCAGACCTGCAGAGGGCAGTGTTTAATCAAGAAACCACCTCATTTTTAGTCTCATAATATATTTAGTGAATCTTATAAATAACGTCTTTGCCCACACCACCCAAACTTACCTCAATCAAAAATTAGTTCATTTCAAGGTTGAGATGTGGCATTTTTAAATGCAGTTCAGGAAAAAGCCTGCCTATATTAAGTATTCTGTGACATTTTGTGATATTGAATCTTATTATTGATCAGCCTTATTGTAATTTCCAGTTGTTTCAGACTATATTAATACATTAAATGGTTTTGAAAGAATGAAACAGATCTGATTTGGCAGCACATTTGTGTGCATAAGAGTGACATTAATGAGGTACAATAGAAGTTATTAACCCCCCTTTGATTTTTTTTTCTTTCTTTTTTTAAATGTTTCCCAAATGATGTTTAACAGAGCAAGGACATTTTCACAGTATGTCTGATAATATATATATTTTTTCTGGATAAAGTTTTATTTGTTTTATTTTGGCTAAAATAAAAGCAGTTTTAAATTTTTTAAACACCATTTTAAGGACAAAATTAGTTGCTTCGTTAAGCTATTTCTTTTCCCATAGAAATAGAACAAACCATCATTATACAATAACTTGCCTAATTACCCTAACCTGCCTGGTTAACCTAATTACCTGGTTAAGCCTTTAAATGCCACTTTAAGCTGTAAATAAGTGTCTTGAAAAATGTAAAGTCAAATATTATTATTATTATTATTATTATTATATTATGTACTGTCATCATGGCAGAGATAAAATAAATCAGTTATTAGAAATTATTTATTAAATGTGCTGAAAAAAAATCATCTTTTGGCTAAACAGAAATTGAGGAAAAAAATAAACAGGGGGGGCTAATAATTCAAGGGGGGTTATAAATCTGACAAACTGTATTCCTGGAACTACTGAAGTTTAAAGGTGCTTTTGATCATGATAATAAGACAATATTTTTATGAGTGTGTTTGTGCTGGTGTATCTTAGCTCATTTAGGCATGTCAAGGATAATATGGCAGTTAAGCTGCCGGTAAGTGGCAGCAATCAATTTAATAATTCATTCAAGCAATTTGTTGAAAACAGCTGACTAAAGGCGAGTGTCTGCCTTTAAGGATGCATCATAGATATCAAGATGTTTTGATTAATCTTGTGGTGATCAACATTAAAGAACAGTCTACAGCAGGGGTGGCCAACCCTGTTCCTGGAGAGCCACCTTCCTGCAGATTTCAGTTACAACCCATATCCAATACACCTGCCTGTAATTATCACGTGGTGTTCACTTCCTAATTAATTGGTTCAGGTGTGTTTGATATGGGTAGCAACTGAAATCTGCAGGAAGGTGGCTCTCCAGGAACAGGGTTGGCCACCCCTGGTCTACAGTTTCCTAAATTCAGAGGTCATGACCTACATGAAGTTATTCTAACAGACGTACAACAACAGTTTTAAGAATATTTCATACAGTCGATTCTGAAGCCTTAAACTAGATATTTGATACTTTTACTCAATGCGATTGCGTGTTACGACGTGTTATACGTCCAGTGAGAAGTTGTTCAGTGTGCATTTGGCAGCTGCTGGATTTCAGTAATTTGAGTTTCTAATTTCAAAATGATAAATATTTTATTATAAAAAGCAACATTGATTTGCTTCATAAGACATGCATTAATCCCATGGTGCATTTGGGTTAGTTTTACGATGGATCTATGCACTTTAAAAAAGGACCACTAGCCCAATACAAATAAACAGCACTACTCTGACTGTGTTTGTTTGAAAAAAATAATGGCTTGAAGGTGAGAAAATTACTGGGTAATTTTCATTTTTGGTGAACTATTCCTTTAAGCCATCATACACATATACCTTACACTCAGCAATCATTACTCTGTACTGTATCAAACAATGTGTATAGGCATGCAAGGGGATAGTTCACCAAAAAATTACAATTGTCATTTTTTACTTACTCTTAACTTGTTCCAAAACCTGTAACCATTGACATCCATTGTAGGAAAAACAAATACAATGGAAGTCAATGGTTACAAGTTTTTAAGATTTTTCAAAATGTATTTTATGTTTAGGAGAACAGCAACAACACACTGGTTTGGAACAAGTCAAGGATAAGAAAATAATGAAGAATTTTTACTTTTGGGTGAACCATCCATTTTAAGATACATTTTCATTGTAAGGCAGGTTCGTTAAGAATGTTATGTTCCAAAAATTGATTAAACATTTTGGGTCAAGTCAAGTTGCTGTATTCAAACCTTTGTACTATTTTAAAATCAATATTAAATTGCTGACAGAACTATCATTTTGACTGTGTAGTGTATTTTAAAGGCTTTGTTTGCAAAGTAACTTGAAAGTAATCTCATTATTTTTTTACACCCAGTGATTGGTAATGTAGTCAAATTATATTTGGCAAAAGAATTATTCAGTTATTTGTAATGCTTTTTTGACTAACCAAACACTAATGATAACTTTAAGAAACATTAATTATAATATTTCTTCATGATACAATCATTGCTATTGTCTAATTTTTCTAATCTTGTTTTTCTTAGAACAAAGGGGTTTTGTTAAAGTGCCTTTTAGTTATTAAAAAAAAGTACTGAATAAACCTTTTTTAATTTTAGAGAGATTTAATGAAGATTACAGTGTTTGTGAAAAGATTCAAGCGTGGATAACTTTACTCTGACCTCCACTGTAAGCTGTTAAACAAAACAAAAACAAATCTAATATTTTATGAGTTTATGAGTTTTGAGAGAGAGAGGACAAATGAATTTCAGGAAGACAAAGACAAAGTGTTTGACTTAGCTATTGGAAATATTTATTGAAGCAGTGTTATTTTAAACATACCTGGAGGCAAATAAAATAAATTATTGTTCTCCTTCATCCACAGGTTATTTTGAGAAATGTAATGATATTCAAGAGGGTTGCCAGGTGCAATACACTGTGCTCCATTGTGCAAGTGTGAAGTGATTTATTTCTGAGACTGGAGATAATACAACATGTGTTGTGAACGCCATTGAATCCTTTGAGGTTTGCAGAATCATTAGAGTTTGATCACTCAAAAATTAAAGTTCTGTCCTAATTTACTCACCCTTCTTTTGTTCCAAACCTGTTTTCTACTATTAAACACAAACGGTCTTTTAAAAAACGGAAAACCTGTAACCACTGACTTCCATGGTATTTGTTTTTCATACTATGGGTTTTTCATATGGGACCTGAGGAGTTAGTTATCCAGTTTAACCCCATATGCTCTAATATTCTGAATTCTGTAGCTCCATTGAAAATTAAGAAAAAGAAAGTTAAGCCCCAGCCTTGGGTGAACAGCAATATTAGGGCCCTTAGGCAGGAGTGTAGAAGAGCTGAGCGCAAATGGCTTAAAGACAAACTACAAGTTTCATATGAATCATTGAGAGATTGCTTGACAACATTTCAAAGGGCAGTCAAAGCAGCTAGATCAAATTATTTATCTGACATAATTTCAAAGAACTGTCATAATTCAAAAGTACTGTTCTCCACTATTAACACCATACTTCAGCCTGTTGTTTCTCCATCAATTTCGTCATCTGTTGACACCTGTGAAAAATTTCTGCATTTTTTTGCTGATAAGATTGTTGGAATTCGTGCACAGATTTCACCTGTAGTCAGGGT